CCTAACAAGAGAATCCGAATCTAAAAAGAGTGAAAATCACAAGAGCACCGCAAGTTTGTAACCAGCCCAGTACAAGTTTATTAATCTTATAAGACGCCTAAAGGTCAATCCAACACATTCACTCAGCTGTCAGACTGACCAGCCATTCTAACCCATCGTTTGCTCCGATCAAGACTGGCATTCGAGCCCCAAAAAAGGGAGGGAGCTGTGAGCCCACAAAACGTGATGGCGTCACTGTTTATTAATATTAATATAACTGGTTAAAACCTGCAACTTTGGCGACTACTCCCTCCCCCCACTGTATGCTGGAGAGCGTAGTACTACACCTACTCCCTGAGCCCAGTCAACACTTATGTGAAACCAGACAGGTGATAGGTTCTCTTCAGGCATTGGGGGCAGATTCCCGTACTCGGAGTGCTCTCGTTATTTAGGAAAGGCATTTTATAATCTCCTTCAGATTACAATGTGACTATGTATAATTTCTTATCCTTTCCACAATTTAATGAATTCCTGCTGGTGTTATTGAAGGTCCCCCACCATGGGAGGCGATAGAATTCATTTTATGGAGAATGTAAGAATATGGGACACCCCAAGTAGGGCAGGGAGAGCCGGGGAGGGGAGTTCTCAGGCCAGCAGACTGCTCCTGAAGCTGTGATGACACTTTTAGGGTGGAGTGGTCGTTTACTAAAGTCCAGGGTGTTAGGGGAGCACCTGCCCCCACCACCCCCGGATTATATATAGACTCCCCAGGCAATTCCCTTCCCCCCAGACCTGGCTGTCACAGCACCTCGAAGAGGGGGCCCCTCAAGCATGAGCACAGGCTGCTTCTCCTCTGTCCTCATGCCATCCCAATTCCTCTCAGTAGCCAGTTCTTACACAGCATTAATTTTTGACCCATTAGGCAAGGCGCGAAAAAGCCGGGGTGACTCGTTACGCGAGCCCGCGGCTTCATGGCCCCCAGTAGGCCGCAGTGCGGAAGACGCTTCGGCGGCCTCAGGAAGCCAAAGCACGATGCCTCCCCGCCACCTCTCCTTCCACCCGAGCCCTCCAGCCCGTTCACGACCTTCCCTACCCCGCGCCTCCCCCTCCCTTCCACCACCGGACAACCGGCCGAGCGCCGTCCTTACCTGCGGCTCCTCCGCTCTCGCACCACGTGACCTCCCTTCAACCCCGCCCCTCTCACGTACGATCGTCCCCGTGACGTCATTGCGCGCACTGCGTTCCACCAAGGTTGAAGGAGCTGCGTTCCACGCCTCGCATGTTGGCAGGAAGGCCCGCGAAGGGGGGCGTGTTGTCTTGAGAAGAGGTGTCATGTGATTTGAGATGAGGCAAGGAGGGGGAAGATGGCGGGGAACACCAGTAACTGGCTGTCCGGGGTGAATGTGGTGCTGGTCATGGCGTATGGCAGCCTGGTGAGGACTCCAGAGACCCTGAGGTCCACAGGGGCCCCAGATAGACTTTATGAGAGCGATTATTTATCTGTCATGGTGCTCCCACAATCGGGGGGAAACTTTTGGGGTTGCTAGGGCCTAATGGGGGAGGTTTGAGGGCTGTTTTTGGGGAGCCACAGGCATTAAAGGACCACTTTACTTATTGGAGGTATCCTTGAGTTCATTAGAACTTCAGGGACCCCAATGTGGTGTAGCTGGGAAATCTTTGAGAGGTTTGGGCCACAGGGGCGCCTCTACTAAGTGAAATGGCTTCTGGAGTTTTTAGGGTTTCCCCTGAGTTTTGAGGATACTTGTGAGGTGAGAGGAACTCCAGAGAGCTGTGTTACAGGGCCCTTTATATTCATTGGAGGGCCCCTTGGGATTTGTAGGGTCACACCCATCACCTGGATATCAGGGGTCATTGCCCCCCTTCCATGGTTATAGGAGAACTTTGGTATGGGGGGGGGGGGGGTGTGGAAATGGTTGTTG